TTTTTTTTTTTTTTTTTTTTTTTTTTTTTAGCTCCTCAGCCATTTGAAAGATTCAATGTAATCTGTCAGCAGTAGCGACTCCACCAGAGCTTGTCAGGGTTACTGGGGGAAAAAACACAGAATTTGGGGGTAGGAGATGATAGTGCAGGCAAAGTTGGACAAAACATGATTTTTAAATTCCCCAGTTTGGGAAGGGAAGGACAAATCCTTTCCTTTGACAGTCATCAGGATACAGCAAATCCATAGAGCCTGCAGTGGGAGATAAGACCACAAAAATAATCCAGAGACATATTAAAGAGCTTAAGGAATTGGGCCTTGCTTCAGTTCTGTGAAATATGTTCATTCTGAAGGTTTATACACACGAGACTTTCATGTGATCAGCGCCTCATTTATCCTGTAAACCTGGATGTCTGTTGCACATTTTCTTTAAATGAGTCATCCTGACATTCACGTATCATTGTGTTATCTGTGGGTGCTACCGTGTGTGGTTTCTCTCTGATGACAAGTCCTTCACTGCCAGCTCAGAAGGAATTTTCTTTGAATAAGTCTTGCTCAGATGAGTAAGCACGCCGAGAAAGATTAATCTCGTCATGAATTATTAAGTCATGAGTTATTAAAGAGTGTCTGTAAAGAGGTTCCCATCATTTCTACTAGGGCTTTGCCTGGTCTGGCTCCAAAGAGACTGAAATGTGGTCTGTCATCTTCCAGACGATTTTTCTGATACTGTAACCTTGGTTTTCCTTACTTATTACCTTCTTTTTTGCTAGCAGGATTCCTCTTTACTTTGGTATTTTTGACTCATCTATGTTCATCTCTTAGAGTTATAATCTTTTCAACTGCAAATTTTCCTTAGTTGCAAAGGAGTTTCACATTTTAAAAACCTGCTTCACGAAGTTAATATTTAGCTTTTGAAAAGCCACGCCTTTAGTGATAGCCATTATAACTGTGTCAGCACTCTTCTAACTTTTCATTGCTGTGAAAAATTCATCAATATATTCTTTTTAAAAGTACAGAGTTGGCCAAGGATTTAGCTCAGTGGTTCCAGCGCCTGCCTTGCAAACACAAGGACCCAAGTTCGATCCCCGGTACAAAAAAAAAAACCCTCATGAAAATACAGAATTGGGCCGGGGTTGTAGCTCGGTGGCACTGTGCCTGCCTGGCAACCACAAGGTCCTGAGTTCAATCCCAGGTACCAAAAAAAAAAAAAAAAAAAAAAAAAAAGTTCAAAATAGGGCGGGGGCTTTAGCTCAGTGATTCCGCTGCCAACCTTGCAAGTGCAAGGTCCCAAGTTTGATCTCTGGTACCAAAAAAAAAAAAAAAAAATTGTCTTGTTTTATTCCATAAACTTTTAAAGAAATTTTTAGATAGATTAAAATTTTTAGTCATCAGTGAATTATCACATAGGGTAGGAGAACTCAATATTCCAAACATCCTGTGTTTATATAGAGATTTGCAAACATATAAAATATATATATTTTAAATGTGATTATTGCTATATTCACATGTAATTGATCCATCACTTAAAATTAAGGTCTTTTAAATTTTTTCCGGATACCATTATCAATATGCAGTTTATATTATATGCTATCTTCAAAAATTGTTACTACCAAGAATAAATAGGAAACAAAACTATTAACCACTAAGTTTAAAAAATGATATTTACTCAGGCACTACATAATGATGTTTCACTCAAAAATAGGTCACATGAAACTGTGGTCCCTTATGAGTATCACCTAGTGACATCATAGGCACCTTAGTCTAAGTAAGGACCCTGTTTTGCCAACACATCCACAGAATTGCCTCACAGCACATTTCTCAAAACATATCCTGTTGTTAAGCTATACCTGGCTGCATTGTACAACATTAAAGCCATGAAATTTTGTTCATCAAAAAATATCATTAACACAGGGAAATAGTAAGGTACAGATGGGGAAGATATTTGTAATACATGGTTTCCACAAAGGATTTGTAACCTAAAATATTACAAATAAATTAAAACTCCAGAAATTATGAAGAAAATGACAGAAATCTAATAAAACAGTAGGCAGAAGACTTGAACAGATACCTTACAAAAAAAAAACAGCCAATGAAAAAAAAACTTGTCATCAGAAATTAGTCATCCGTTAGCTGGGCATGGTGGCTCATGCCTGTAATCCCAGCACTTGGGAGGCTGAGGCAGGAGGATCGCTGTGAGTTTGAGACCAGCCTGGGCTACATAGTGAGTTCCAGGTCAGTCACAACTATAGAGTGAGACCCTGTCTCAAAAAACCAAAAAAAAAAAAAAAAAGAAGAAGCTTAAGGGCTGGGATTTAGCTCAGTGTTTTGGTGCCTGCCTCGCAAGCACAAGGACCTGAGTTCAATCCCTAGGTCCAAAAAAAAAAGAACAAAAACAAAAAAAGAAATTAGTCACCCCTTGCCCGGCAAGCGTGAGGTCCTGAGTTCCATCCCAGTACAAAGGAAAGAAAGGTGAGAAAAGGAAGGAAAGAGAGAGAGACGGGGGTGGGGGGAGGCAGGAGAGAGAAGAAAAGGAAGGGAGAGCAAGAAAAGAAAAAGGAAGGGAAAGAAAAGGAAAAAAAACAGTGAAAGGCAAGTGAAAAACTACAGTGAGATCCCATCCTGTGCTCCCAGAATAGCTAACATTGAAGACTGGCATTGCCGAGCGTTAGGAGGATGTGGAGAAGGGTGTGTGCTGGTGAGACATCACTGGCGAAGGTAGAGAGATAGATGTCTGTGTTCAGCACCTCCACACCTAGGTGTTTCTGACAAATGACGTGTATATAAGAAGATTCGGTAACACTGCATTCTGCAGCCCACAGCTATATTTGTGTGGCCTACAAGCCAGAAAGGCTTCCCACATTTTCAGGAAGCTATAAAAAAAAAGGAGGAAGAGGGAGGGAAGAAAAGGGCAGAAGAAGACACAAAAACAGTTCATGGCCCACAAAGCCGAAAACGTGTGAAGCAAGTTTGTAGGGGTGGATGGTAGCTCAGTGTTACAGCGCTTGCCTAGCATGTGCGAGTTACTAGGCTTGTACCGCACGTGTTTGCTGGCCTTCATTCTAGATCTAAAACTGGAAATAAACCAGATGTCCACTGCCAACCGAATGGATAAATGGTGCTACAGTATATGGTGACGTACTACACAGAATGGGAGTGAGCGAGCTCTTGGTACTCAAGCAACACGGTTGAATTTCACAGATGTTAAAACAAGGAGCTGGATGTCAAAAACAATGTGCATCTGCTATTCATTGATCCGTGTAAAGTTTGAAGATAACAAAAGCAATGTAGGATGCTTAAAGTGAGGATGGTGGACACCCCTGGACGGGAGCTTGGGGAGTTCTGCTTAATGCTCTGTTTCTTGATCTGGATATGGGGTTAGTAGCACATTCATTTTGTGGAATCCGAGTGACTTGAGTGCTTCACATTTATGCACCTTTCTGTAAGTTTTATATTCTGTGTGAAAGTTTCTTATTCCCTTGTATTATTTTAAAAATATTTTATGAGCACATGTCTGCAGTGCATAATGTTTGCATTTCTTGTGTGGAGTTGGTGCAGGTACCTAACACATCTTATTTCACTTTCTCATTTCCTTTTCCTCCTCCTTGATCCCCTTTCCCTACATGCTATTATCTTGCTTTTATTTTGCTCTGTATATATATTTTAGGTTTCTCATATGAGAGAAACCATGTGACATTTAAGCTTTTGTGTGTGATTTACTTCACTAACGTTATGGTCTCAAGGTACATCCATTTTCCTATATGTCATCCATTTATCCTTCTTTATTGCAAAGTAATACTCCATTGTGTATAAACAGCACATTTTCTTTATCCATTCGTCGTTACTCTACACTGGAAAAAAGGCATCTGCCCAACCCGAGTGTGACTCCTCCCTCACTGCTGATAGCCTTCCCACTGTTGTTTATGGCTCACTATTGTTTATTTCACCCCACCTACATCTGACTTGGATCAGATATATTTGTTGCCCCTTGGCCAGTTGGCCACTTCAAAAACTGGCAGTTTCTTCATAACCAGGCACTGATGGCCTCAACACACAATGGTCTTATGCAGAACTCGGTGGTGGGACACTGTGAGCTTGCTGCTGTAGGTGTCTTGGATGCCAGGCCCTCTGGAACTATGGGTGTGTGTATCAATGCAGCCAGTTTACACCTGTGGATGCTGTTAAGATTCTTCTCGCCCCATATCAAGGCACATTTTCCCCTCCTCTTTTTTCAAGGAGGTGTCCACCGACTAGAGTCCGTCGAAGAGTATAATGAGCTGATGGTGCGCAATGGAGACCCTCGAATCAGGATGTTGGAGGTCTCCCGAGATGGCCGGAAGCACTCTCTTCCTCAACTTCTGGACTCTTCTGGGACAGGACAGGTCAGTCCAGGGCTGTGGCACCTCTTGCTGGCTTCCAGGCACAGTTGCTTGGTTACGGACAGAAGCTCATGTTTCCATCCCTGGGTCTCCTGGCTTTGCTCCTCACCCACCCCTGCTTCAGATACCAGCAAGGGCTTTTGTGTTAAGCTCTGTCCCTCTCTGTGGACCACAAGTATTTAGAGCTAGAGAGATGGTAGAGAGAGGGAGTCTATCCAGACGGACTAGAAAGGGAATGAACCTACTAGTTGAAAAAAGTAGGGGAAAATAAAGCTCCCGTTGGATCTTCACGTCTTGATCCCCTTCCTACTGTGCATTTTGGAGCTGAGAGTTGCTTGTAACTGCCAGGAAACAATGGCGTCTCACAGTCTGTGGTCAACCATGCTTATTTAACGGTAGTGTCATGTGTCAGCATCAAGCCGGTATGGGTGGTGTGCACAGGCATGCCTGTGACACGCCTTGGTCCTACCTGTTACACGGTTACTACTCAAGCAGCCAGGGTCCAGAGGGACCATAAAGAGGAGTGATGAAGTCAGTGGCTTCATATTCCAGAGCCTGTTCCTCTCAGAGCGCAACCTCCTCTCCATCATACTGTCCCCGAGCCCCTCGAAACCTCCACTAAGCTGAGGCAGACTTAGTTTATAGGAAGTGTATGGGTTTTTGAGTCCTGGTGCCATCAGCCATAAGGCTAAGAGGAAACCATTGGCATCCTGTCCCTGGGCCTACAGTGAAACAGAGCTGGAGGAAGAGGGTGAGGCATCAGTGACACCCAGAAGTCCCTGGAGACTTGTAGATGGAAGAGTTAGTTCTGAAGGTCTTGGGTCAGGTTATCTGGATTGGGCCCTTAACTTTGGCATGTTATGACATTTTTGCCGATCGAACAGCTGAATCTCAAAGAAGTTTAAATGTTTTGCTCAAGGTGAAATACCAGAAAAGTGCATGAACGTGGTTGACTTCGCATCAGGATCAAGTATTGTGTCTTGCTTCTGTTGGTTGCTCTTTACCTGACCAGAAGGAAAAAGTGCCTGTGTTTCAAAGGCAGCTGCTGATCAAACAGGGTTGGGTATTGGGTTCACCCAAAGATAGCTCAGGGAGGATAAGGCACCAAGAAAAAGCAGAAAGAATTGCATGGGATCTGTTAAAAGTCGCCCAGACCCCTGACTAGAGACAACCACGTCTATCGCCAGCTCAGAATCATCCAGTTGGACCTGCAGAGACAAGGGAAGACCAAAGAATGGTAGGAGAGCCACCCTGAAAGGCTGCTTTACTGCGTATGAAAGATGAGAGGGTTTACTTCCGCCACAGCCGAAGATCTAGTGTGGACGTGATGATTTCTCAACTGACCCGCAGAGGAAACCTGACCATATATGTAGCCCAGAAACATCTGTTCCTAACGTAGCCTCCAGGAACCAGGAAGCTCATGCTAGTGTAGTGTTTCAGAAAAGAATTTTCCCTCTTCAAACTGCCCCATTTCCATCTGCTTATTTTCTTGCCTCCTCCTTTTTCTTCCTGGATTCACCTTTCTTTTTTCCTATTCTCTCTCCCCACTAAAAAGTACTGCTTAGAATAGAGAAGCCAGTGATGCTTTCTGCCCTGATGGAAGTGTTTTTCAGCTGTGCTGCCCGAGATAGTAGCCATGTTTCTGCTGAGCCTTTTGAAAGTGGCTAGTGAGACTAAGCAGTGCAGTTTTAATCCATCTCAGTTTAAATAGAGACAGCCACTAGTGGCAAATGGCTACCATATTAGACAGCATAAGTCTGGAAAATCAGCGAAACCACTGAAATTCAGACCTGGGAAGCATGCAGGCCTTTAGATCCTCAGTGGTCCTAAAAGGGAGATTAAGATAATGTTGAAGATTGTTGACCAGAGAAAGAGTTTCCCCAGGAGGTCACACGCGAACCTCTGTATTCGAGAGTTGGAAACCTTGGGCTGGGTCTGGCATCTCTGTGGTGGTTTTAGTAAAAGGGTAGTAACCTCGCCAAGCCCACATCATTTATTTAATGAGACCACGTCTGTGAGGCCCACATTGCTGGCAGATATGCTGTAAAACTGCACAGTATAATTGTTCTAAGCTGCCAGGACACAGAAATGCCACTGGGGACATCTCATCTCTACATTTGAACGTAGCAGGCAGGAGTTAAAGGTAAAAACCATTTTGTCATGTGTCTTCTCTCACAGTAGACATGAAAAAAAAAAAAAAAACCACTTGGCTTGTGCTAGAATATCTGCATCATTGATGACATCACTCTAAGAAGGATAACAAGGAGCTAGATTATGGGAGTGCGTTAGTAATTGTCACTTAATCTCTTGTTTATTACAAACAGCGTACCCGTCAAACACACCAGGATATTTTACAGGAAGGACATGAAAAGGGAATTGAGATTTGCACTGCTGGGTGCCAAGAAGGGAAAGTGTGGCTTATGGGAAAATATTTTATTTTCCAAATGTGAGGGATTAGAGCTGAAGAGGCCGTCATCTCTCAGTGGGATATTTTATGTGGAATAATAGTTTTGTGGGTTTGTGGTTTGTATTTTATAAGAAACAAGGCCTTGCTGAGTTTTTGAATAAGTAAAATGAAGCTTTAAATGGTGGGATACGTTGTGACTATGATTGTGAATTTAGGGTGGGGTAGGGATCTGGGGTAATTTCCAAGGAAAACCCAGCCACAGGGTGGTCATCCCATATCTTTGAGACCTCTTGGTTTCTGGTTCCTGACTCCATTCCAGCAGCAGGATCTGCAGAATGTGGTGAGGGAAAGAGCAATACAACTGCTTCGCGGTCTCCAGACAGTTCTTTCTGGGGGATGCATGGAAGTCGGTTGCAGTAGGGACTCTTCCTCTAGTAGGTATAGGTAGTAAACTTTCTTCTTGTTTTTGTTTTTGTTCTTTTTGCGGCACTGGGGATCAAACTCAGGACCTTGTGCTTGCGAGTCAGGCACAGTGCCACTGAGCTAAATCCCTGGCCCAGTAGTAAACTTTCTTTAAGCCACTAGACCAGAGATGGGTCAAAGGGAAATCACTGTAAAACACGGAAGACAACTGAGACTTCCAAAGTCCGAGTGTATCTGTATGCCAGAGCCCACAACAAGATAAATGAAAATAAGTACTGCTGATCTCACCGTGTGCTGGTGTTTAGGAATACCACATCGCGAGAAAGTCCACCCGCTCCCTAAGCACAACTCACGTGGAGTCTCCTTGGAGACTCATCCGGCCATCTGTTATCTCCATCATTGGGCTGTACAAGGAAAAAGGCAAGGTAAGCTCTTTTCTGCAGACACTTTTCCTTTTTGTTTTGGTACTGGGGATCGAACTCAGGCCCTTGTGCTTTCGAAGCAAGCAGTGGAACCACTGAGCCAAATCCCCCACCCCAGACACTTTTTTTAATGGTTCATTTTATGTCAGTTTTTATTTTTTACTAGTACGTGTCTCTAATACGTATTGATTACATTTTTATGGGGAGTTGATGCATGCACGTGACTCATCTTAGGGTTTTTGTTTTGTTTTGTTTTCAGTCTCTATCTCCCTACGTCTTACTATCCGTCCTGTATTTTGCTCTTTTTAAATGGTTAATTCTTTTCCCCCAGAATCGGGATCAAGACCTTGCACTTGCCAGGCTGGCATGGTGCCACTGAGCTACATCCCCAGCCCTTAAAGGATTAATTTGCTAAGATTTCTTTTCACATGAAATAAAAAGTAACAAGTATAGTGAGGGATAGATTAAGTGGTCTTCACGTGGTGGATTTCCTGCAGGCCTCAGAGTGTGACACAGTTGGACTTTCTTGTCCTTATGATGTAAGACGTCACCAGCACCTGGCTGCTAGGGTGCTCCAACCAAGTATTCTTTTTTTTTTTTTTTT